CGTAATGATTACTTATTGTGAATGAAACATTCTGAAAAACCATACGAAAATTATTGAAAATATATTTTATTATGTAGTCGAATTGGTAGCTATATCCATATGTCTGACTGGTCGCTACCAGCCAACATAACTTATGACATCTATATTGATGACGCAGAGAATAGACTAGATGACGTTTCTGAATCTGCCTGCTCATCCCCAATTAACCATACATTGCTGACTAAATCAAGAATAAAAAAATCTCGTATAGTAAAAGAGAGTGTACTAGATAGATGAGTCCCACCCACAGTATATAATAGCTTTCTTTCATAATCAACTTGCAGAGTTGTTTCTCCATAACCATCATCCGGAGAAATAAGCGTTAAATTTCTCGCACTCCAAGTTTTTGTGATAGTATTATAGGTATTTAATTTACTTCTTGAGTAATAACTATTGTATTCAGCACTTTTTGTTGAATTAGCACCTAAAAAAAATCCAATATTCCCATCTCTGTGAGTGCGGTTTTATATAAGTAAATGTTAGAAAAAGGTTATTAGGTTTTGTATTATTATCTTACAGATCAATGAACCCTGCAGAATAAACATATTGATCTTGAGTAGGGAGGGTCATTGAATTATAACTATTTTCGGTTTTGTTATAGTACCATCCATCCGTTATGACTAGAGTTACTCCAGCATCTGAGCTGGTATCTGTTTGAGGTGAAATAGCTGTTCCATTGTTAATTGGCGTAAGTAGTATTTCGTCTTTATAAGCTCCACCAAGCACATAGACAGTTCCATCTTTTCCCAAGACCGTTGTTTGATGTACTCTTTCATAAAATGTACTGCGGTTTCCATTTATAGTACCGATTGGTAGTATACTCCAGCTATTGTTTTTTATGTGATATATGTGAGGTACGACAATGGGGTGTACCTCCTGTGATATGTTGTTCGTATAAAACTTGCTATTGGCGTTATATTTTGGCTCCGAAAACACCCAGATTTCACCAACATCAGAATAAAGAGCGACAGTACAAGTAGAGCAGATAGGACCTTCATTCAGGTTTACAAGACTAACAATCATTTCACCTGTAGTATTATTTAAAGTATATGAGTACAGCGCTGCAGTTTCGTCGGTGTGATCAAATCGAGTTCCACCATAAGCATAGATCACATCTTGATATACAACAGTTGATGCGCTAGATAAAAACGGTGGTATTTTGAGGCTCCCGTCTTTTATGTTAATAGGATACGAGCAGTAAGATTTCTCTACAAGTAGAATAATGCATATAAGTAGATAGATATGGGATGATCCTATTATATCACACAGTAAGTTTTTATTTAAGATTTTAGAAAGCATTTTATAATTAGAAAAATATTTAACGTATTCAAAAAAAAAAAAGTCTGTGTATATATATACAATAGCTCTGTTCTTACATAATAAACATAAAAGCGAATTATAGGCTTAGAGAACGGTTATAACTAATTTAAGATTTAACATTAATAACTAGACTTCGTTTTCTAAGCCAAGCCAAAACAAATTTTTATGACATTGGGGAGAACGTAAATGTATGATGTTCTGCACGATATCTTTTTTTTTCTTTCAATTTTGCATTTTAAGGTTTCGCTTTTAATATTCAACCTTTCATTAGTAATATATAAATATATTTATTAACTGATCTTTGTATAGAACATTTAATTAAGAAATAAAAGTTGTTTAAATAAGATAGCCATCTAAATACAGCCGCAAATGGATGTTTCCTAAATCATCAAGTGCGTGTAACACTTCGTTGTTTGTATGAAAAATTAGGGGATCATACTTATAAGGTATATATTACATTGAGCTTTAAACATGTTTTTGTAGTGTGATCCTATAGAACCAATAGTGTTCGTTTATACTGGTCACTCTAATTCTTAAAATGTATTTATAACCATATTGAAAAAAAGCTTATGAACATTAGCCTATTTGTGTATATGCTTTCTCAAGCTTAACTAAATAGAAATCCGTTAGTGTTTGTTACAGAAAACATAAACAAAATTAAGTAAAGGGTTAATATAAATTATAGACTTTTACAACTTCAATATACATTCTATATTAAACGATATCCAATTTTACTAAATAAAAATAATATATAGCTTAAGAAAATTACAGAATTGAACCCAAAAATACTTTTCTGTTCAAGAACTCTGTTGCCATTTTCTGAGTTAATTCTGTTGAAAATTGTTAAAACTTTACGTGTATTCTTTTTTTTTGAAGATTATATTAATTTTTCCATGAACTATTACGATTTGCTGATAACTTATATTCTATCACTATTTCACTTGCTCCTAGTAAAAATAATAATAATAATTTTAAACTTCTTCTGAGGTAATATTTCTATTTTCAACGTTTAGCCAAAAAGTGTGTAATTTTTTTCGTTACAGTTTACGTACGTTTAGGTTTTATCTCTATATTATTTAGGTATATATGGAGAAGTTGAAGATGTCTGTATCGCTTACCTATTTACTTTACATGTAATTGTTTTTCTCCATACCAAATTCTGTTCACTTTCGCAAAAAAAAGAAAGAAAAGAACAAAAAAAAAGATCTAGATTATTATTGCCTATTATATTTCTCTAAAATCCTAGAGTTACACTAAAGTTAAAATTGATTACATTGAGATCCGAAGTGAAACTAGATATATATGCTTATTAGGTTAGAGTGTTTCTCTCTCCCCCGCTAGAGACAACAGATATGTACCTAGGATGAAAATTTTATGATTTTTATGTTTATATATCTCTTCCAGAACAAATAAACAAATCTTAAAATACACCGTTCCTTAAATCGCACAAAACATACATATACACCCTGCTTATAGTGTTTATCTAGATGATTAATAACTAAAAAAAAAAAACCTTTTCTTTTGTTTTGAACGCAAATCAAACAGCTACTCCCGTTTGTTTTGTGAACCTCATCTATATCAATGGAAAAAAAAAAATTTTTTTTTTATTATGGAATATAGTCAAACTAAAGATGAAATGTCAGACGATAAATATCAAAGTTAATTTAAATTTAGGCTAAAACTCCTAGTGAAAGATTTGAATCATTTGCATCATTTGTGGATTTTAGATCTTGATTTAGCTCAAATTGATGTCATGTACTTTAAGAGTAAGTGAATCCACTGAAAAAGAAAAGCGGAATCGTTCTTATATTTTATGTATTTATATCTACAGAAAAAATTTATTTTATACTTGCGTAGTAAGCGATGAGAAGTAAAAGGATACTTTATCTCATCTCTTTTTGATCTTGATCCTTTGACGTAATACGTTAACCATTGAAAGAGGGGATGGAAAAAAAAAAAATGGGACGAAAGTATTCTGGAAAAATTTAGTACTCCTTTTTCAGCGACAAAAGAAATGTACCAAAAAGTGGTCAATTTACGTAAAAAACGCTAGTTACGAGACGAGAATAAAAAAATAAAAATAAAATTTCGTAAAAATACTATGTATTACACAGATATGAAACCATAGTTATTTGTTATCGGTAAGGCTCCTAAGATATCGACTAAAAAATTCTCTATTAAAGAAAAGGCCTCCTAACGTTTACTCGTAACCTCGTAAGTTAGTACAAATATAACCCGAACCTAAAAAAAAAAAATTTTTTTTTTTTTATCAAAATCAAACCTACAAAACTCTAGTTTTAACTTAAAGAAACATCGAGAAGAAAAACTTAATAATCATAATAATAAATAAATAGAAATAATAATAGTAAGTTTTTTTATTTATTGTTTTGAATAACACGTTTATAGTGTTAGCTTGCTATTACTCTAATTTTACTTCAAGTATCACATGTGTGTGAGGAATTATTTATTAGAAAAATAATAATAATAATAATAAATTGTTTTTTTAACTTTTGAATAAACTAACATTTTTTCTAATA